TAAATAATTTTTTAAAGTTTTGATATTGTGTTTCAGTCATCTGCTTTGATGTCATTGTTCCTTGTTCTAGAAAGTCCTTTTCGCCCTGTGTGCCTTGAATGCCCTGACCACCACCGTCTGCTTGGTGGCAGCCGCCCTTCGCTACCTCCAGATATTTGCAGCCAGAAGATCCTGCAGCGTAAGTCCATGCAAGGTGGCACCAAGGCTGTATTTTCACTGAGCTGGCCCGTGGACCTTTCTGTGTAATCCATTGCTTTTCTCCCCGAGCCTTTGTAGTAAGGGCTGGTGACTAACAGTGGTGCTGTTTAATTAGGATGAATCCCAGATTTCTGCTGAAGAAGTGGAAGAACACGGACGCATCCCAGATCCTGACGATTTCGTGCCGCCAGTGCCCCCGCCTTCCTATTTCGCCACATTTTACTCGTGCACACCCCGGATGAACCGCAGGTATGGTTTCTAAGACTGCCCCCTCCCACCCAGTTCTCTGTGGGGTGCTCTCAGTTTTGAAGACAGAAGGGTCTCCGGAACTCACACTATGAGCTCTGACTTTTCTCTGAAATCTAGACAGATTGTGTTATTCTGTGTTATTGTGGGTTTTTGTGTGTGTGTGTGTGTGTGTGTGTTATTGTATTGTGTTATATTTTTAGGACTTTTTGTTTTCTCCTCTTTCTTCCTCTCTCTCTCCCTCCATCCCTGCCTTATTTTTAGGACTTTTTGTTTTCTTCTCTTTCTTCCTCTCTCTCTCCCTCCATCCCTGCCTACCTTACCATCTCCTCACTTTTGCTCTCTCCCCCTCTCCTCTTTTTGTCTGAAAAACTGCATGAAACCAAAGAAAAGTCAAACCTTGATATAAGGTTATACTTTTTCAATTTCAATTAGCTTCTTAGGAAAACTGACACTCAGTGAGATAACTGCTGTAATTCGACATGATTGAGAGCTGCTGTTGCCTTGGAAACGTGCTCAGTTAGGCCAATCGATGTTCATTATAACACCATCAGCAGATCCCCAAATCATGAAATTCTTCCCAGCCATTAAAAAAAGATGAATTATTAATTACATCTTCCTGGTCTAGAAAAAATAGTCACCGTGCTTATTTTTCTTGTCAAATTTTTCTAGCTCAAAATTTGATCATCTGTTTCTTAACTCTTAGGAATCATTTACTTTTAACATTATTATTTGTAGAACAAAATGCCACATGCCTTCTCCTGATTTTTGGCGACTTCTAGAATTGTTACTCTCTAAGGAATGACTTCATTTATTCATGCAACAAATATTTAATCAGTCTGCTGCTTATTAGTCACTGTGCTCCATTATTGAGATTCAAAATGAATTAGATTCACATTCTTCCTCTGTCAGGGAGCTCACAGTCAAGGGCATTCAAAATGAGTGTCATTAGGATCACAGCAGTTCTCAGAAGAAAGAATTTGAGTGCACAGAGGACCACCCAACCAGGAAAGGTGGGCGGACTATAGAAAACTTGAAGAGTCAGCCAGTCAATGTTGGCTTCCTGGACGAAGTGATCTTAAGCTGAATTTAGAGGATAAGCAAGCCTATGTTTAAGCTTCCAAAAGAGAATCTCTGAATTCTACAGAAAGGCTAGTGTCTTTAGCTCGATATTTAGAGGGCCAGGAATTTTTACTTTTTAATACACGTAGAGAGTTATCAAACAAATTTGGCTCCAGGCTTGGGTTTTTGAAACCCATTTTCTAATGCTCAGGGCAGCTATGTGACTGGGAAACAGTTCGCCAGTGGGAGCTACCACCACATGCTCTAAATGTTTTCAGTGGGTTACCTTCCTGACTTGTCCCTCAGGGTCATACCTAGACCCATCTCCATGCTGTCCCATGCCCACCCGCTGAGGCACGTCGAAATGACCACAAAGCCAGAGGGGGCATCAGCTGGCTGGGCAGATGGAGCTGGGGGCATCTTGGGAGATAGCTCAGCCTCAACGTTGTTCAGGAAGTGGTGTACTAAAATTTAAAGCTTCAGGGGCCAGAACAGCTTCCCTAGTCTCTTAGGAAATGGGCCAATAATTACAGGGGCCAGAGAGACAGAGCAACAAAACTCATGCTGTTTGTGTACATTAGGACACGTTTGCTAAATCCTTGGCTCGGTCTCAGGCTGGGTGAAGAGGGCACATGGGAGGACTGTAGAAACACCTGCTATTTCATGGCTGGGACGGGAAATGCCCTCTTCAGGAAGAATTCCGTGGCACTGAGGTTGTGGGTGAGCACTTGGTTGACCAAAGAGGAGGCAAAAGACTTAATTTCCTGCGGAAGCAGAGAGGGAAAGTGACCCGTGTGGGTTTAGGAGTCATGTGTCCCCAGAGTCCTGTAGAAACCCCTCCCCCATCTGCTCCTCCTCAGTCA